ATCTCACCGGACCACACTACAGAGAACCAAATAGATCATATAAGCACCAACAAAAAATTCCGAAGGACAATGGAAGATGTGAGAACCAGGAGAGGCGCTGATCACCACCTAGTTGTGGCCAATTTAAAACTGAAGCTAAAAAAGAACTGGACAAGTGGACAAACAGCACTACAAAGGTTCAATACAGCCTTCCTCCGAGATACTGACAAACTCAATGAATTCAAGATTGCTCTCAACAACAGGTTCCAAGCCTTACAAGATCTACGGAAGGAAGAAGAAACTAGTATGGAGGACAACTGGAAAGGCATCAAGGAAGCATTAACTTCAACGTGTCAAGAGGTTCTGGGTCTAAAGAAATACCATCATAAGGAGTGGATCTCTACAGAAACACTGGACAAGATCAAAGAAAGGAAGAACAAGAAGGCAGCAATAAACAACAGCCGAACACGAGCAAAGAAAGTCCAAGCACAAGCTGAGTACATAGAAGCAAACAAACAAGTGAAGAGGAGCATTAGAGCCGACAAGAAGAAATATGTGGAAGAACTAGCAACGACGGCAGAAAAAGCTGCTAGAGAAGGAAATATGAAACAGCTTCACGATACAACGAAGAAACTATCAGGGAAATACAGTAAACCAGAGAGACCGGTCAAAGACAAAGAAGGCAATCCAATCACCGAAATTCAACAACAGCGGAACAGATGGGTAGAATACTTCGAGGAACTCCTGAATAGGCCGGCTCCAATGAATCCACCGGACATCGAAGCGGCACACAGAGATCTTCCCATAGACGTCAACCCACCAACGAAGGAAGAAATCAAAATGGCCGTCAGACAAATCAAGAACGGGAAAGCAGCGGGGTCCGACAACATACCAGCTGAAGCACTGAAGTCAGACATCGAAGAAACTACAAACATGCTTCACCTTCTATTCAAAAAGATTTGGGAAGAGGAACAAGTGCCGATGGACTGGAAAGAAGGGCACCTCGTCAAGATTCCAAAGAAAGGAGATCTGAGCAAATGTGAAAACTACAGAGGCATCACACTGCTGTCAATACCAGGGAAGGTCTTCAACAGAGTGTTGCTGAACCAGATGAAAGATGCAGTAGACGCCCAACTTCGAGATCAACAAGCTGGATTCCGTAAGGATCGATCATGCACAGACCAAATTGCAACACTACGGATCATCGTCGAACAATCAGTTGAGTGGAACTCATCACTATACATCAACTTCATTGATTATGAAAAAGCATTCGAAAGTGTAGATAGGAGGACACTATGGAAACTTCTTTGACACTACGGAGTTCCTGAGAAGATTGTCAACATTATCCGGAACTCATACGACGGACTACAGTGCAAAGTCGTGCATGGAGGACAGCTGACAGATGCATTCCAAGTAAGGACCGGAGTCAGACAAGGCTGTTTACTCTCTCCCTTCCTCTTTCTTCTGATGGTCGACTGGATTATGAAGACCTCGATATCTGAAGGAAAACACGGAATACAATGGACAGCTCAGAACCAATTAGACGATTTGGACTTCGCAGATGACCTAGCACTCCTATCACGTACACACGAACAGATGCAGATGAAGACAGCCAGTGTAGCAGCAGTCTCTGCATCAGTAGGCCTCAGCATACACAAAGGGAAAACCAAAGTCCTCAAATTCAAAGCGGAAAACAACAATACAATCACTCTTGATGGCGAAACTCTGGAAGATGTAGAGTCCTTCACATATCATCGATGAACAAGGAGGTTCGGATGCAGACGTAAAGGCAAGGATTGGCAAAGCAAGGACAGCATTCCTACAGTTAGAGAACATATGGAACTCAAAACAACTTTCAACCAATATCAAAGTGAGAATCTTCAATACCAACGTCAAGGCAGTTCTACTGTATGGAGCTGAAACTTGGAGAACTACAACAACCACCATCAAGAAGGTACAAGTATTTATAAGTAGCTGTCTACGCAAGATACTCAACATTCATTGGCCGGATACCATCAGCAATAGCCTTCTGTGGGAGAGAACAAACCAACTTCCAGCTGAAGAAGAAATTAGGAAAAGACGATGGAAATGGATAGGATATACATTACGTAAATCGTCAAACTGCATCACGAGGCAAGCGCTTACTTGGAATCCTGAAGAGAAGCGAAAAAGAGGAAGGCCAAAGAACACATTGCGTCGGATAATAGAAGCAGATATGAAGACGATGAATTACAACTGGACGGAGCTAGAAAGGATTGCCCAGGACAGGGTTGGATGGAGAATGCTGGTGAGCGGCCTATGCTCCTTCACGAGGAGTAACAGGCGTAAGTAAGTAAGGAAGTAATAGTATTTATCCAGTTCAAAGAGCCCACCATTACAGCAGTACTCAGTAGCTACTCGACCCCGTTACGGCATTCAGTACAACCCAGACCAGCATAAAAATCATGATATGATTCTTTAATTACGATTGCAGGTGAAGCTTGGCTAATACGTAACGAGTTACCACGTTAGGTGGTCATAATGCAGTGGTAAACCTGGTACCTGAAATCGGGGTTTTGTTTGTCAGAAGTAAGAGAAGCAACATGACACTTTTCACGTTTGAGAAATATCTAACCAAATATATTTAAAATGTGGGATGTCAGTGGACACAAGGAAAAAATTTATCTGGGGACTTAAATATTTGTAAGTAAATTCCAAACATGAGGAGGCTGGGAAGAAAACGGTACCAACGTTTTTAATGTCTTGTTCAAAGACATTTTATTTTCAGAATATTCACTAGTGTTTCCCTCGCGTTAATGAATTATGTCACTGGTAAACCAAGGCAATTGGATGTGATACTATCGTTCAATGAAAAGTTATGAAATTATCTGCCTGATTGGTGTAATATCTCCAATTCATCATTAAACCATGGTTGTGATGACTAAAAACTTAAGCTAACTGTTGTTTAGCGTAGATGTAGTTTTTTTCTAACTTCTTTGGGACTTTATCATGTGCACAAATTGATATAACCCTCTAATACTAGCAAAGTTCAGTTCAACAGATATCTAGGTTTCGAAAAACATAAAATTTTATTTAGTACTTTAAAATAAGTAGTGAGACAGTTTTTACATATGTAATAACCTATAGAAAACCTGTCTTATAGGAGAAAGTAAGTTTTCATTGTTAAGTTACCTTAGCCAAACAACTATTAAAAATCAGTAGGTGCTAGAGAGGTTTTTTGTCTTTGCATAAAACACATTGGAAATGTACAGCTGCAACTTCGAAAAGAAACGAATCGAGAATCTTTAGGCCTTGTTACTATTGAACCGGTAAATTGGCATCCAATGGTCTACGTTTACAACCTTGATTAACACTCAGTATTTTTCTGTGATAACTGGTCTACGTTTGACATCTGGAGAGGTCGTGAGTATGCATTAGTAAAAGACCTCATAATAAAACGAGACGTCTAAATAATGCTCCCTGGTTTTCAATCATTGTCTCAGCTAATTTCGAACCGTGTTGTGAACTATCTTTAAAACTGAGTAAATCCACAGACCTGCCATTCTAAGAAAGAAATGAGTTATTTAGTGAATAAACTCTGAGTAGACAAACAGTTAGTTGTTATTCTACGATATGAGAAGTAGACATTAAAATGACTTACCTGTGGTGAATTTTTTGATGAAATACCAACAAAGAGGTTTTCATACGAACCTCTGGTTTTTAAAGCATGTAGAGCGGATCGTATAACACCGATTTTATCATTCACCTATATAAGAAATAGAAATTATGGTAAAGATAAAGCCTTATTAAAGTACATCTGAAGAATAAAAAGAAAGTCTCATATCAATAAAAACCTATACTGCATAATGATAAACACTAATATATTCTAATGGTAACAGTAGCGACGTAGATGCATAGATGCATAATACGGGATAACAATATTTTGAAGAAGAAAATGACTTGATATTATTACTGGGTTAGCATTCAGTGTTTAAGTAAAACTGGTACAAGTATATGAAAGTGAATGAGAAAAGCATAATTTAGATTTTCAGCTGACAGTTATAGTTATTACTTAAAAAATCGAAAGGGTGATAACAGAAAATTACGTCTTTTTGTTATCAATTGTTATGCACTAGAAATTCGCTGTAAGAAAAAAATACCTCTAGATATTATCATTTTTCCTACTAACATAGAATGGACTGATGGCCGCGTGTTCGAATTACTTTCAAATTTCATATCCACGATTCCTATTTTATAAAAGTTTACATATAATGGTAGGTACTCGAACTGATGTACGTACGTACGTACGAAGTTCTACGTTGTTATTGACTGACTGATAATGCTAGGTATGTGAACTGATAGTAATTGTAGATTCATTCAGTTCAACTCTAAGTAAGTTACTTTACCACCGTTTTCCCCTTTCAACAGTGAACTAAAATTCAGTTAAGCATTGTCGAATTAAGCTCAGTATTCGCATTATAGTTCTCCTTAGTTCCTTGATTTTGACTTACTCTAAACCTACGTAGGCGTTTACATGGGAGTCAGCTAATAATATACTGTTACGTGCTTGACTCTAATTTCGTAGTGCTATGTTGATCTCTGGGACGAAGTGAACAACTGCTGAAGCCAAATAGCCATCAATGGATACAGATATTTGGGTCGCCCTTCACATTAATAAATTAGATTACTCATTGGCTTTATGCGAATCTGTGTCTTATAAATATGCTACCAAGAATTTTCAGTTCAATAATTAGGAACAACCATACATAACCCTAAAGTAATGAGGATCTGTGCTTCATACTTACTTCGTCTTTAACACTTGTTCACTGGTTAATGTGTGGCATATTCACTCTGAAGTGGGTGAGTGACTGAGAAAGTGTAAGCTACCGTGTGGTTTCAACAAGATATAAAATTAAACAGATACTGCCAACAAAAGCTATGCTGATAAGGATTAAGGATAATAAAAATGCGACTCAGTTTACTTGTTTATATGTAATCCACTTGTAATCCTGCTCACAGTATTCACGCCAACCCAAACAAGCTGAATTTCCTAATATTTAGAAGACAAGAATGACGATTTAAAAAATTAGCGTATGAGAATTAAAGTAAGAAAGTGCATTTCGAAAAATAACAGCAAAGCAACTGGTGGTGGTAAAAGTCTGAATATACTAGATAGACAGTAGTCAAAAAATCTCCATTTAAAAAGATGGAATATTACATCCTTTAAAATGACATCATTTTATTAAAATGCAGTTTATAAATATGCACAATACAATTTATACGTAAAAAAAATGCACTAGAGTAAGAAAGTTCCATTAATTTAGTCTAAACCTTTGAACATGGCTCGGGTCAACAATTTGATTTTATGGGGTGATTTGGTGGGCTGATTTATCCGGACTAGCTTTCTTTCACTACATTAATCTAAATAACTAACGTAATGCGTAGCTCTAAGAGGATGGAGCTGTGTAATATACATCCTAATCATCAAGGTTAGTGGAAGTTCATAGTTTCATCTATAGATTTACATTTTATTGAATAAGACCCAACATCGAAACTCAAGATTTTTTACCCAGCGATTTCATCGTATATAAGGCATGATTCGAGGAGACCTACGACCATATACTAATGAATTAGCCAAAATATCTAAATAGGTAATTAGAATATACATCGTTTGTGAATATGATTGTTTATTTTTAGCGAGAATGTGCTCATAAGATCTAGTGGCTAAAATGAATTACTTACTTGAAAAATTCAACCCAGACAGAAACACTTCACAAACAGTAGACAAATTGGCACATACTTCTGGAATGGTAGTATAAGTAACGGATGTGCGGGTGTTTCCCTATTTTGTAAAAAGAGGAATCATTAATAAGATGAGCGTGTTTAGGAAAATTTCGAGACATATTTGCACGGATTCAATCATTCTCAAAAATGCTTTTTATACCAGCATCCTAAAAGGGTTGGCATAAAGATTAGCAATATATAAAAGTTCTATCTAAAACACGAAATCAGTCATCAACTCTTACGGATGAATTATGATCAGTCACACTACACTCAACTAACCGGGACATAGTATTTCCCTAAAAGATTACTTCAGATAACTTTCTTGACAATTAACTCTGAAACTGTTATTTGTTATCTTAAAATATGATAAACACCTCAAACTCCTTTAAATGTTCAAGTGCAAAAATTGAGGTTATGCACTCAACATGGTGTAAAAAACATAGTTCAAAAAATATTAGATGACAATGAACATAATTTAATGTCTGATGAAAATCTCCCTCAACTTAGGCGTAGTTGAATGCACAGGTTATGGCCTCAAACTAGGACTTGGGAAGACTTACTTTGTCCAGAGAATTGATGAAACAGCTTTACACTGATTCACAGTTATATATTTTCCCAGATGAAGCCGACTGGTGATAGAAAACCACTTTCAAATCATGAATATCTTCATAAACCACCAACTTAAACGATAAAAACATGTTTCATGATGTTTATTTATAAACAGGACAATAACCGATGCTTTAGTCAGTGACCAAACTATACAATAAAAGGTTATCCTTGAAAAATAAGCATAAAACACCAAGGAAATCAGGTAAACGTACTTCATAATCGATAGCTGCAGACTGCTCATTTAAAAAGCAGTCAAGAGGAAATGTGACTTTATTAGATTTACGTTTGTAAATATGGAATCCAACAACGACAATTGCAGTAGCGATAATTATATAAAGCATCCCCTAAATGCCTAGTAAAATTGTAAAAATAATCGCAATAATGACTAATATCCGTTTGGAAAGTATTAAAGTTCCAAAAGAATACCATAAAAGTAAAACCTACAATAACATACGATACAGATATTTTTATGGAAGATATGTCTTAAATGATCTTCAAATTATACCATTAAAGAGGAAAATTACGAAAGCATATTTTCCACAACACAGTGCTGATCAGCAAACTTTCACTATACCTCAATAAAAAGTATTTCCTATACGTGATATCTGAAGAGAGAACTGATATTGTTGTATAGAAAAGCTACAATCATAATATACATCATAAAGGAACTATTAAAGAAGGTTAAATGAAAAGCCATCTACCATAGATAAGTTATAAATAAAAAATTACCTCTGAAACGCACCTTGAACTAACAAAAGTCAAGCATTTTATTACCTGTCAAGGATCTGAATAATGAAGTTCATGACCATTTTTAAAGTTTGCAGTACGACACTCTAAAGTGGTGACCAAATATTCAGCCCACGATGAGATGTCACAATCTTTAAGCATTTCCAAAGTCTCTAATATTTGAGGTGCTGATATATGCAAGGGACCAGACACGGTAATTCAAGACAATCAACACCTCCATAAAGTGTCGGATTATAAATTCACAGCGCGCAGTTCGTTTCGTGCGATTTTATTTAACCAGAAAACGTATAGGAATGAAACTTGTCAGCTTTATTAAGATTAAAGCAAACTAGTAAAACGCTAAACAACATTTGAGTAATTGATCAAAAATAGATAGTAAACTCGAAATAACCGATTATGACTACATGAAGTGATTATGCATATAAAATTTAAGGAATAAAAGCAAGAAAATAATGAATATGTAATAGGTGTCTGATAGGTGAAAAAGCAGATAGGCATACGAATATCAGACACAAATTTCGATGGACCTGACAACTGTGGATACACTGACACACCCTTTTTTCGAAATGAAATGCAGCGTATAACACAGATATAATAAGAATACATTTCTTAATCGTATGATACAAATACTACTAAATTGCTATACTGGTCAACATGAAGCTATAAAATATTTTTTCCTAATAAATCTACTACTTGTTACGAATTTTAGCTGTAAAGCTGAGACACACTGTACAAAAATGGGAAAATGATTTTTTAAGAAGCAAGTTTAATCTTAAAAAGACACAGCTAATACCGGCTCAAATGACCGCTTGAAGCTGAAACACAAACAAATGATACATACAAACAAAACAATATCACAGGTGGATGTGATGTCGTGATACTGCAACAAAAGCGAACGAAATGTACAATAAATACATACTTAAACGAATAAACAAGTATACTCTTGTTTCACAAAGGTTTTGGGTGTTTTACACATTTTCAGAATGTCGTTACTTGTTAGTCAAATAATTCCAACCTAATACTGCTCTGATAATGTGAATAATACTGAACGATTATTGCAACAGTATTGACGGTACTTCAAAACCTCTTTCAATGCTTATTTTTCCCGTGACTTGTTGTTTCAATGGATGCTGTAACAAAATTATAATACCTTCAAACATGTTGATGAATACAAAGCTAAGTCTTTTAAATCTAGATTAAAGTCGCCTGCTTTAAATATTTTACGAAAGGTGCTGATAGTCACAACTCGTATTTTTCTCTTTCGAGTTTTAGTAAATAGTGTTACGTGGTCTTAGCAAATTTAGATCCAATTCTCCTAAAAAAAAACTTGCATTCGTCGAAATAATTTTCGACTCTTGAAAACCACTAGTCTCTCGTAGCCTATAGAAAACTCACAATGTGTTGAATAAATAGTTATCATATTTTTCAAAAAATGCAGGATTTATTAATAAGTAGGATCAGGACTACTAAGAACAACTGTTTGACTTGCAACAAATCGTCTACTTCCATTTTATTTCATTCTTAGGAACCGTTTAAACTTTACCTACTACTAAGCTTTAATGGCACCTCAATTCAGACGCATTGTTTTACAAAAGTAAATGGTTTGTTCCATGACCTGATTGTGCTAGTTTCAATCATACCTTCGTTCAACTTGAAGAGTATCCTTCAAGTTACACAGTAATTTGTTGAAGCCAAGTATTACAAAACTTACAAGCTTCACACACAATAAACCGATGACTAGGATATTTCATTCATTCAGGGTGTTTGCTGACAGAGTCATACTAGCCAAGTGTCATATGCATGAGAACGGATCAATGGAATAAGAATTACTGGGTCTGCCGGACACTCCCAGCCAAATCCATTATACTAGGATAGAGAGACGGACTGAATATTTATGCCTGCGTCATGTGTTACGATTTTTTAGTAGTTGTGGGCCCTGAAATATACAATGGCAGTTTGATGTTATTATTTGAAATATTTGCGCTTCTTTAAATCATCTTTTATCACAAATAACAGTAGTTTATAACATAAGCTCTGTTCTAGTAACAAAAATATTGAAACATATTAAGTCTTATTTTTCAGCTCAACTAAATAAATAAAAGTACAATGTTTATTGGCATCCCGGAAAACATTTTTCGACTATCTAGTGAGTTCCTATACCTAAGCACCAAACAACGCCTGTAAAAATTTATAGTTAGCAAGTCCGTAAAATGTCTAGTTGTCGTTTTTTAGATTCGGATTGATGTATTTTTATGACTAAATATACTTACACCTCAAGCATTCCTATATAGATAACTGTAAACACATTCAATTTGTTTTGCTAGTGTTTATTTCCTTCAGATCAGTTTGGTGGCAGTGATAATTCGCTTCTCCTTTAAACACAACACTATAACCCCATAGTTAAATGCTACATAAATATGAGTGTCACTTATAAGGAAACGTTACTTATTAACCGCCTTTTAGGTACAGATAGTGTATTTCTTCCACAACTAAATAGGAGTTTTACATTTTCATCAGTGCTTTCCAATAAAACTCGCAACCACATCAGAAAATCTTTAAAAGTTTCTTTTTTCTGACTTAAACTTTCCTCAAAACAATGAAAAATCTTTCACCACTCCCACTTTGGTCTGCATTCAGAAAGCACATAGATCCATAACACTATGTTGACAAATTCAAAGGAAGTACATTAGATGCTCCTATTATTCTGTATATTGATATAGTGTACAGCTTGGAAAATGGCAAGAACTGTGTTCAATGTGCATTTCTAGACTATACTACATCCTTCGAATCTTTCAAGGTCACCATTTGTTTTCCAGAGTTAATACCAACAGCTGGATAACCAGTTGGAAATGTTTTTACCTAAATGAAATAGGATATTATACTGCGCTTAAAAGAAAGTATTCAAAATCTTTGCTGACTCAATGAGACTCGACACAAGTGGCTGTTCGATCATCTTTTCTTACCTTGTTTCTTACGATCTGTCATCTGAAGAAAAATAATGTTACTAAATATGTTGATTATTATCACTTTATGTGCAACTATTTCTGCTTACGTAAATCTTGTTGGATCGGATTAAATCCTATTGCTCATTGAACAGTTTTTTATTGATGTTGGTCCTAAGCTAGGTCCTCATAAATGTCAAACTGTTAATTTTAGCATGAGATGTGAACAGCACTCATTACCCTGTTTAAAATTCCAAGAAACCTGTACCATTGGAAATTTCGTAGTAAAACAGAGTTAAAAATTACTGATCTCGGTGTAGGTTATTCTTCTTCTCTCTTTTGGTTTTCTCTCGTTTTATCTATATAGCAGAAAATGTTCCGTTTGATTTATCACATTAATAAGCTACATGGAATTACACAGCATTCAGTTTTACGATCTGTAGAATCTTATATATTATCAACCATTCTTCATTGTACATCGTTATTGTTTCCCGCGATTTAGGAAAAAGTTTCTACTGGGTAGTGGAGAGTTCTGAAATTAGGCAGTAGGGTGAGTTTTTTGAAGTCATTATGAATATGATTATAAACGAGCACCTAATATCTTGCAAACTCTTGTAAAAAGCTATCAGTCATTAACTTCACTTACATCCTTTTCTTTGTCTTCAGGTAGGACGAAACGTTGAAACATTAGAATCCACTGACACAAACAAGGATGTAAAATATCTGCAATGAAGTATATAGCAAATACATTATGCGACGAACTTGTCATACAAGCGGAGTTATTTAGAATCATGTGTTCTTAGAAATATTTCTCATCAGAAATTGTACATATTCCCATTTTCGTAAGAAACTTTCATTTGATTCTAGATGTTTATCATTTCATGTCACCTCAGTATGTTTGCTATCGATTTTTTTTGGTTCTAAAAGAAACCAGCCGGAATATTCGTGTTAAGAGTTCCATATCGTACTGAAAATATAGAACTGAACAAAGCCATTAATAAGAATAGAGAACTCTTTGTGCACATTTTGATTTGCGATTGACTACGCCAACCGACTACTTCTAGGACTAAAATGTTTCAAGTATCCCGTCAGACATTGACAGTATAAAAAAACGTTGGTCTTTGGATACCAATATGTCAAAAGAAGAGTTTTGTGCAATTTAAAAACAAGTATTTACATGTGACTATTACCTATGAACGTCTTTTTAAAAATTAATTTACTCCAAATTAATTCGCTGAGATTTTACAAATACATTCTTCGCCTTTAATGTCAATAAAACTACAGAGTTATTCAAAAAATGTGCACACTGTAGTAAAGGACACATTCTGTCGCAAAGTTTTTAAGAAAAAAAAGTTATTGTTAAGGAGAAGAACTGTTCCTCCTAATCGATGGATGGCTTTCAAACCAAAGTATGAAGAACTATCTACACAGTATTTTTCAATAAATAGCAACATAGCAACAGCAAAATACTTGTACAATAGCTGAATAATCACACAACCAATAGCATGATAGCAACAGTAAAAGATCCTAACAACTAATAAACCATGCGTTTTTCCCCTTGAGAATCAACCAGCCTAAACTGATCAGGAATTTGGTAGCCTATTATGTCTATCACCACAAGACAAAGTTTAGTACATTTAGGAAAAAAATCAAATGGAACCAGCGAAGTGACGAAGACCCAGAAACTAAGACAAACTGAATGTGATTTTACAGCAAAACGATAGATGAACACCATACGTATTGAAACAGAGATTCGGGAGTTGACGATGCAAGGCAGTAAGACATGTAAGTGCCTTGACGCACGCAAATTCATCATATGGTTTCTCTTCCTATCTGTCTCTAGTTTTGTCACTGGAACTTAAACATGTCTGTTAGTGGAAAATATTATACCCAACAACGGTTTTTATTGATTTAGGACCTTATCTTTGAATTCAATTTCATACCCTTACTACCTTGCGTTCTGTCCAATTCACTTCTTTTAGTTCATCAATGTACACACAGTATATCATAATCAACATAGTACTCGCTACTCCCTGCAACAAGCATTTGAGTATGACCTCTCAATGTCTCGTGTTTAGCTTACAAATACACTTAAAATCAAGCATAAACCATTTGAATCAACATCGTTTGTTACTTCTTGTTACCCAATCAAGTGTCACTTATTACGAGCACCTTTTAAAAAGTGTGGCTGACAACAAACACTCAACAAACGTAGAAACAGACACCCTGTATAGCGGCTCACAAAATGTAAGTCCCTTTCTCCAACTAAGTACTTACTGACAGACCACCCAATAAAAACTTGAAACAAATCTACATGCAACCATGTTGGCCTTAACGACTTTGATGCAAACTCCACTACTTTCATCAACTGCTATTTTAAGTGCATTCGAGTGGTGTTTAGTTGCACTCAGACTACTCACGACTAATTACCATGAAAATACTTAATCAGTGTTGAAAATAATCCTGAAATTGAAAAAGTAGTCGACCGTATATCGTGGGAACTATTGGAAAGACTTCAGTGTATTCAGGACGCCATTGTCTGTAGTGCCCTGATGGCACAAACGTAAAGCCTGTTAAAAGTGCTCTCTCAGAAGAGTGTGGAATGTCGCACTCTTTGTGTGTGACACGAAGACTAAAGCATCCTGTTCCATTCTCTTTCGATTCAGCAGTACCACAAAATCTAATCACATCATAAGCAGTCAGTTATTACTTAAGCGTATTTCTATGTTTAAAAAGATTATAATCATCCATGATAGGAAAACCACCTGACGTTGAATTACGAAAAATGTACAGACCAGCCAACCCAGTCTCTGCTCTGGCAACTGTCACAATGATGACTAATGTACAAACCTTAAAGTCCCAGTCTGTACATT